GAGGGAGAATTTTTTGAATGCTACTTTCTAGATAAGGAAATGGTTCTTATTAAAGGTAAGCCCTGTAACCCCAATCACACTGTTAGAGGAGAAATTGGGGTCAAAGACTGTCTGCACTGAAACAAATCTCTTGTTTTAATCCTGTTGCGTGGCTTTGGAAGTCCTTGTGAGACTGCTTTAGTGTTTACTCTGAGTGAAGTGATGAACCATTGAAGGATTTCTAGCGGAGAGGGGAGGTGATCAAAGTGGAAGGGGTTTCTCTGGCCACTGTGGTAGAGAGAATAGACTGCAAGAGGCAAGGATCGAGGCAGGGAGGCCCATGGAGATGCTATTGCTACCGTCCAGGCAGCAGAGGTTGGGGCAGGGCTGGGCGTGGTGGTAGAAAGCCCTACCTCATGTCCTGGAATGTAGTTTGCAGGTGGGGATGGCAGGCCATGCAGGTGAACTGGAAAGAGGCTGTGACGTGTCACATGTGACCTCTGAAGGACGGTAACCCGAGCAACTGGAAGGACGTGCCGTGGGAGAAACATGGGAGCAGCGGGGCCCTAAGGGGCGATCCGAGGCATGTTTGGCCCAGGCAGTGTCTAGGGTGTTGGTGAGCAGCTGATAGTAAGGGGAGGGGTCTGGCTGGACATGTAAAAGTGGGAGTGGCCAGTGTGCAGCAGTGACAAGGAGCAGGTGGAGGGGCAGCCCAGGGCACGCAAGGTGAAGAGGTGACGGGAGGAGRACGAAGCAGCCCTGGAGGAGCCCCCCCTGGAGGTGGGTCGAGGTGTTGCGAAGCTGTACCCAGGGAACTTGAGATGAACAGACTTGCCCCAGGTTGTACAACTAGAAACTCACCTTCRGTTTTTACTCCGAAGCCCATAACCTCTGCCCCTGCATTGATCTCTCTTTTCTCTTCTATTTGCTCAGCCAGTGTTTGTGGGAAATGCCCCAGGCCCCGGCCAGGCCAGGCACCAAGTGCCTGTGGACAAGAGAGTTTCCGGTTGCCTTTCCTCATCCATACTTCAGCTTCTCTGAAGACTCCTGGATGACCCAACCCAAACTCCCAGGTCCCAAGCCGGCCTGTCGGGAGTCTTCTCCCGGCCCCCATCCTGATCCTCACCTGGAGGAAGCCTAATGAACATTCTCCTGCTTGTGGTGTCCTGGGATTTGGGAGGGGGACATTTCCAGCTGAGCATGGTGCATGAGACATTGTGAAGACCAGTGCACGCAGCGGGGCTGAACCTGCCCTGTGTGTGAGCCGTCAGCCCCGAATGCTTTGTTATCTTTTGCTTGTTCTGCTGAAGACGGTTTAGGAGGRGGTGGGGGAAGGAGGCCAGGTGAGATGTTCTGGATTCCAGCGATTCAAGTCAGCACTRGTGAGGTTGTGAGTTGCCACATGGAGCTGGGGTGCCCGAGGCCCTCCTCTGCTGAAGTGAGAGTGTGTGAGGGAGGAGAGGCATTCTCCTGTCCCCCCTCTGCAAGGCTTAGGAATGCAGAGATGCTGGCCTTGAGCACCTCTTACCTGTCCACAACTTCCCACCTCAAAGAACACACACACACACACACACACACACACACACACACAGAGTTGTACCTCTACTTCTCATTCAAGAGGTTCTTGTAGAGAAAAGACGTAGTGGAAAGTTTGGTAGAAACCACTGGAAAGGTCTCCTCTCTTCTTCCCCCCGCCACCCTGCGTTTCTCTCTCTCTTTCTCCTCTTAAAAAACAAACAAACAAGCAAAAAACGCTGTAAAGACTGTGACATCTTCATTTATTTTTTTAAATGTGATTTTAAAACATATCCTCAAACTCAAAATCTGGTTATGATAAAAGGCCAAACACAAATGGGAGTGATCTGGAACTTTCTCTTTGTAGGGACATTCAAGGGGATGTGTGTGTRGAAGAGACTGATGGAATCTGTGAACTTTCAGTTTGACTCATGTCTAAGGTCACATATGTCACTCTGCTCTCATCAGGTGAAGAAAATCATGAGCTTCAGAGGACAAAGTGTTTGTGAGCCTCCAGACCAGGGCTTCTCTTTGTAGGTGCGGCCACCCATGGCTTCATGACCCTGACAAGTTCACGGCTTTTGGGAGCCTCAGTTTCCTCATCTAGCAAATGAGGATGAGAAATCCTACCAGACAAGGTTGCTGAGGGAATTAAATAATAGAGTAAGGACATTAGTAGGCAGATGGCTATGGTCATTCCTCACCACTTATGAGAGAGAGAGAGAGAGAGGGAGCCTCAGTTTCCTCATCTAGCAAATGAGGATGAGAAATCCTACCAGACAAGGTTGCTGAGGGAATTAAATAATAGAGTAAGGACATTAGTAGGCAGATGGCTATGGTCATTCCTCACCACTTATGAGAGAGAGAGAGAGAGAGAGAGAGAGAGAGAGAGAGAAAGGAAAGAAAGATGGAAGGAAGGAAGGAAGGAAGGAAGGAAGGGTTAGCTCCTAGAGTTTTTATTAGGAAATTCTTTACCTCCCTCCACAGTCCAGTGCTGGGGACTTCAAGTGGTCACTTGTATTGAACACTGCCACTCGACAGATGGGGCAGTAATAGTTGCTTTAGACATCAACCAGTGTGTCTTGCAGCCACCCTTAAATTTGGGTCTCATTAACCCATTGTCCTGATATGCTGATTTGTGATTAGAGGGTTAATTAATTGGCCCACCTCCTGGTTAGCTAATGACAGAGGCCAACCTCTAGTCCAGGTTCAGCTGACTCTACCATACCAGAGGGCAGAACTCCTCCCAGTTCTGCCCATGGCTACAAGCCATGAGTGAACAGAACCAGTAGCCTCACGGGCTGGAACGGATCTTTAAGAGACTTCAGTTTGGCTCTCCAAGGTTACACCTACCCAGACCAGCCTGTCACTATTTAGTGACCCCTGGAAGAGTTCACAGTCTTTTCCCATCTCAGGGGTGGGTTGAACTGTGTTGTAGGAATTGAGTAGGGAGCTCCAGAGCTGAGAAAATGTAACACTTCAAAAGGAAAYAGCTCTCCTTGTGGTGGCTAGAAGGTTTGGAGGGAAGCTGGGGGTCCAGTTCAACTCTCCCGGAGTTGGTGGCAAGGTTCACAGGTCAGACCTTGGGCTCCATCTGACAACGGCATCATCATCTTGGCCATCTGGAAATGTCATGAAGATGAATTTTTTTTCTATTTTCTTTGCTACGATTTTCTGCTTCTAGAAGAATTCCAAGCATATAGAAGATATTATACGAGGGAATGAGTGGATTTAATTGTGATTTCAGGGCATTTGCTCTAACAGCTTCCTCTGTTTCAAATACACTTATCCTGGAGAGTCACGTGGCTCAGRTCTTCCAGTTAGGTCCAGTCTCAAAAGTCACCTACAGAGAGGTCCCTTCTGACCAGCCCACCCAACTCTCCTGTCCTCCTTCACTTCCACCCACTCTTGCTGTGCTTTTCCTAACTCTTGGGGGATGATGAGTCTATCCCCACTCTCCCCACAGCCAGTTCCATGAGAGCAAAGCGTCCATCTTTTGTGCTTTGCACATGTCAAGCACCTCGCCTGGTGGGAGTCTGAGCTTCATAAATTGTGTTGAATGAGCAGGTGAGTGAGTGAGTGAGCGAGCGGATGGATGGATGGATGCCTAACGCAGGGAAGAGCGTGGCGCAGAGCCCCACCTGCAGCAGGTGAGASACACACGTTAAAATTCATGGTGTTGGTGGTGACAGTCAATGCCTTTGTGAGGCCATTCTCTGTGGGTGCTCTGGTGGGTAGTRACTATAAGGGGCTCTGCTTGCCCGCCACCTGTCCTCCCTCCCCACTCCATCACAGGATGCTAAAGAGCAGGGTTTCCTTYGTTTTTGTTTCTGAACCAACTCTGGCTCTTCCCTGTCCCTCTTGGTGGAATGGTGACAGGGTGTTGGGGAAGTCTATGCTTTCTCCTTCACTCCTAACACACTTTCAGATCCTTCCTACTAATGTGTAAATGGCGCACAGCCACCTCCTCCATGCATCCCATCCCACTCCAACCACCCAGCTTTCCCAGCTTCTGGAATGTTCATATCTTTTTGATGTCATCCRTGCTGTCAGATGACTAAAATGCCTCCACTCTGTCCCCAATTCATTCCCAAAGAAGTTCTGTCCAAACCCAGTCCTAGTATCCCCCTACTCAACCCCAGATTTTCCAGTAGTTTCTATCTCTCCTCTCTGGTTTCCCACTCAGCCTTCTCCTTTTTCCATTATAGTCCTCAACACWGGGCACTAGGCTTAACCAAGACTTTCTCCCCCAACCCAGAAACAAGTTCCACATGAGGAASAATTCTGCATATGGTGGGAAGGGGGAGATCGGGCAGCTCTGGCTTGAGTCTTCAAGTCTGTGGTTTAGCTGCCAGAACTCCTGGGTTCCAGTCCTACCTCCCCTCTTACCATCTGAGAGACCTTGCCACATTACTCAATGCCCACTGAAAATGAGACCCTAGGTATTGCATTTCAGAAAGCGTTAAATACCACCGACCATCGGATAAAACTGTAAAGAGGCAACCTGGACAGGGTCTTGTGAGGGGATGGCTTGGGATGGGTGGAACTGGAAGTCATCATTAGRTCTTTTTCCATTCATATAGGGAGGTCTGTTAATAACGAGCCATAAACTTGTTTGGAACCAGAGACCTAGAAACCAAACAATGGCYGAAGGTATTTCTGAGAACACCCAGATCTTTATTATCTTTGTTAATTTGGCAGAAAATGCCTCAGACTGAAATCTCACTGAGGTTCGCTCAGTTCAAATGCAAGTCTTTGCTGCTCCTATGCACACAGCCTTGTGGACCATGGAAATACAGTGATATACACAGTCTTTGAGACTCACAACCAAAGAAATGGAAAGAAAGCAAATTCCAGAACACAAAAACAAAAGTATAAAAACTGTTTAAATATTGAACTGTGCTCCATAACACAAAAGTTCATATCTTGTGGGAAACTTGGAGAATTTTCCACCATGGGGGAGGGGCGGGTGGGCGCTTAGGATGCAACTGTCCCTTTTGACCTCGTTAACATGTTGTGCTCTGAAACATGGTGAGGAAGAAGTTGCAGAAGGAGCTCCAGGAGTCCCCGCAGAACTCCAGGGCAGTCTTCCTCTGGTTCACCACATCTGGGTCCTCCATACACTCCGGACCTTTGACGGCCACAGTCTGAGTCTCTGCTGGGCTGGACTGGATGTTCTCTTTGACCTCATTTGGCTCCAGGGCGGAAGGGCTGGTGACCTCAATATGCTCCTTGGGGGACAGCTCTRTTTTCTCCTTTCTGGGCTTCTTGTTCTCATACAGAGTGGAGTTTACCAACTTGAGATTGGATTCTGGAAACTGCTTTTTGCACACCCTGGTCTTCAGGACACTCTTGGAGTTCTCACATAAGTTCTTCTGTTTGCGCAGCGTCCGGACAATTTGTTTCCAATAGGCCTTYTCATTATTGAGCTTGAGGCATTTAGTTGGCTTTCCGGCAAAGACACAAGAAAACTCCTGGTCCATTCGAGTGCACTCCACTTTCAGGGTGATGACCAGCTCCTGCTCAGTCACTGACCATCTGCAGGAAGCTTGGTCTTTGGTGGCAAACTTGCCATTGGTCATGGACTTGGATGTTCTGCTTCTCTGCTTACTCTGGCCCTCGCCCAGAGGAACTGATGGATCTCCTTCTGGTATGCTGCCCCGTCTGTTCTTTGTTCCATTTCTGACCTTTGCTGAGAGCACTTGAGCAGCCAGGAGGAGAAATGAGAGGAGGGCAAGGCTGTGGATCTTCATGGCTTCAGCTGGGCAAGCACCTGTTGGATGAAAGGCAGGGACTCAGTGCTGGGCAGCAGTTGAGTGTGCAGGATTGCAGGCTGGCCTCCTTGCAGCCTGATCCGTGTCTGCCCACTTTAGGAGGAGACCAGAAATCTGTCTGGCTCCTGAAATCACTAGATGAGTAGCCTGTCTGCTCCCACTTCCACTTGACCTGAGCCTTTGAGTGGCAAAATGTTACCATTCTTCATCCCTCACYACTCTCAGAGCCTCCCTAACTCTCCCACTCACTCACTCAGTTACTCCTGCACTTGCCCCACCCTTCAGTCACTCATTCAACAAGCATTAATTGAGCACCAACAATGGGTCATGCACTATCCTAGCTGTTGATCACACCACACTGACTGAGAAAACCTCGTGTCTTAAAGAGCTCAGAGCCTGCCCTTGGAGAGATTTAAATAGCCTTGACCATGGAGTTGGTCTTGGACAAGTCACTCTCCCACTCTGGGTCTCAGGTCCTTTACCTGGAAATCAAGGTGTTGAATGAAATAGTCAAACCCTTCCTTAGTTCCAATGTGCTGACTTTCCACCTCACAAGTCTGCACAGACACAGATGACCACAAAATCAGAAAGGATGTGGCAAGAGCCATAGAAATGTCATAAAACGTGATGTTGACTCAGAGGCTGAACCTGCTCAGGGTTTGACACCTGGAGCTGGGTGGTGCTCTGGGGTAGAGGGAATATTACCGAAGGGAGGAGGATCCCCAGGAAAGGCACGAAGGTGGGAGGTCATTGGACATGACAGGGCAGAGTGAACCCAGGTGGAGAGGGATGGACTTCAAGCCGAATGCTTAGACCACAATCTGAAGGCAAGTGTGGTGCCCATTGGCTTCCGGAGCCCTGTGGTGGCACAGTGCTGGGCAGACACAAAACCTTTAATCCAGGTGTTTTGAAAAAAAATTCCTTGGATCCAGAGAATGACCTTGAATGCTGGACTAAACTCCATGGGTTTTRTCAGGTGAACAATAAAAGAAAAGAAAAAAAGCCACACCTCAAAGAATCCCAGGTCTATCTGACACCCACTAAGTGCTGAGCTTTGTTCTAGCATTTGATTCTCATCCTGTTTAATCCCTACAAGAACCCGGCCCCATCGCTATTCGTCTGTCACTCACAGTAACAGCTGTGACAGTTAGGGCTCAAGCAGGTGAAGCGGGCGGTGACAAAGCTGGTAGGGCCGGCCAGACCACATCTCACTGGGTTTCTCCCACCCCTCCTTGGTCACTTCTCGCTTTCACCTTCACTCTGATCTTCAGAAAATACTAGCGAGGAATCAGAAAACTCTCAACGGTCTGGTTTGGCCATACTTGACAGGATTATTCAGATCATTTGTTTTGTGGTTGTTTTTTTTTTTTTCCTTTTTTCACTTTTTTTTTTCCTTTTTTCACGTATTGAATTTTGTTTGAAAAAGGGAAAGCCCCAGGAAACAGCTATGATCTCATTTGCACCTGGGGGTTTGCCCACCCACTGAAGTCATGATAGGGAGACCATCACCCGAGTCTGGGCTAAAGCAATGAAGCTGCCCAGGGCCCTGGGACTTGGCTCTTACTTGTCCATCAAGGCATCTGGACTCAAAAAAGCCAGATCCTCATGTGGGGTGAGAACTGGGGGCAATAGTGAAGTCTTAAGAGAGCCAGACCCTTACCTTGCTCTGAGTATGCAGATCCAGGGCGACCCCGGTGTGGGAGCGGTGGCAGGCTGGCAGTCCTCTGAGACGCAGTGCAAGGTAGGGTCGGCTATTTATAGGAGCCCACGCCTGGGTTTTTACAGCACTCAGACTTGAGCAGCTTTGCTCACACTCCTCCCAGCCACGCCCCTCAGATGGAGCCAGTTCCTACAGGGAAAGTGCTGGGTGGAATCCAGTGAGCAGGGGGTTACACGTATGCCATTAGACATGCTTCCTGCAGGCCTCTCCCCTTCCACCCAGCAGCCAGGATAGAGGCAGAGCTCAGCCTTGCAAACCTCCTTGATAAGGCAAGCACCTAACAATGATATCCCAAGGGAATAAATTAACTGTAACTACATTACAGCTGTGAAGCCCTGAGCCCATTCCTAAGAGCTCATTCCTGCTCCTCCTCACCACCACCCAAGGATGCCTCTTCCCATTTTACAGAAGGAGACAGTGGCTCTTGGAAATATCCAAGGGCTTGCTCAAGTTCACCGAGGTAGGAAAGGGGGAGTTCCAAATTTAAACCAGGACTCTCAGCGTCTGTATTCTGTCCTCTTCCCACCTGCCAGTCTCAATAAATACTTGGGGAATGAGTGACAGAAGTGGCTGAAGCTTCTTGGTTTCTCAGTCGTTTTCACTGAGCCATCTGAAGTTACTGCGTGGGCAGCGGAATCTGTGGGCCCTGAGGCTGGTTAAGAGGGAGTCCTTAATACTGGAATTCCTATTGAAAATATTCCYTTCCAGGTTGCATGAGGGATCTCACTCTGGCCATCCAGCTGGARGTACAGTTTTACACAAGAATGACCGCGGTGGGGAATGATTTCGGTGAACTGTGTGACTTTATCCAAACTACTTGACTTAAACTCCTGTGGATGATCTCAGCACCTCATTTAGGGCTGCATACTGATTTTTTTTTTTTAATTACTGGAGCTGAGCTATTAACAAGTGACACAGAACAGTTTGGGTTCATAATAATTTCTTAAGCTGCGTTCTTTGAAAACAGACATTATATTATCACCTATGCATTATTTTGAAAATGTTCTTCATTTTAAACTTTTGTGTCTTTTAATTAGATTGGAGTTTTGTTGTTCTCTTTACCAGAGAGTTTTAAATAATGAATGCAACTTTTTTTTTGAGAGTCTAAATGATATGAACACAATTGATTACCACCACCAATGGAGCTGATAACTGAATGTGTGTCTCATCTGGTGTGGTCACTGGCATGCAATTTCAAGTTCAAGGCTGACTTTACTCTCKGGCTTGTTACTACATATAGTTTCTTGACCTAGAGGGTTGGCCCTGTTGGAGCAGTCACCAGGGATTATATGAGTGGGTGTGCTGGGGTTCTTAGCTGAGTCCTAACCCTGCAATAWCACCAGTGAAGGCTGTCAAAAATCAATCCTTTCTTCAAAAGTGTCTTTGTGAACAGACTGAAAATGCTGAGTTGCTGCATTCAAGCAATATTAATTCATTTCGTAAAATATTATGCATTCMAAACTTCTCTTGTTAGAGAAAATGGAGATATTGGCTAAAGAAATATCAGTAAAATCTAATCAGTTTGGAAAAAAAAAAACAAACTCATCTTAGACTCACCCTAGAGAGTTTGCTTCCAAATTGAAAGTGCTTATTAGTCATGAGCTTTCGGAATTTCCTGTTCAGCAAATTCAATGAGACACAGTGCTGAAGTTTTACTTCTATAGAAAATTAAGATACAGCAAAATATTGGTATTATAGCTTTGGTTATGAAAGCATAAAAATCTATTAAAATTCATTTACCTTTATAAGAATGATTTTTCAAAACACAAATATATTACCCAGAAATACCTCCATAAATATGTACACTGATCAGCTTTTTCACCCTTTCTGAATTTTTTGAAACTTTGTTTGTAAGGAAATCATTCTTAAACAGCAAGTATCCTTTAAAGAGGTCTGACCCTTTGGACAAAATTTTCACCACACACACATACCCCTTCCTGTATGTGCACACGGATGCCCTCACATGCATGTGCTTGCACACTGGCATGTGTGCCTACAGGTCTATGCACACGCTATTGTGCACACATGGCACACAACTCACAAACACACACACACACACACAATTGTGTAATTGCCTTTAGGCCACCTCATGGGACAGAAGAAGGTTCTAGAGAGGCTCCCTTTTCAATTTTCAATAAGCCCATGTGTGTTACAATGAGTGCCAATTGCCCCACTGGAAATCTGGAAATGTCAGAAGATGAGTACCCTCTTTCTGGGTGGTCAGACTGGGGGTCGCCACGCACCCTGACATCTGACCACGTTACTTCCATTGCATAAACGGGTGAAAAGGTTTAGCTAAAAACCCCAGAAGACATCTCTGAAAAGTCTCCTATGGGCATCCAGACAGAAGTGTATCAACCCACAGAGCCAAAGGACCCACACATCAGTGTYCTGTTTAGGAGAAGACAGGGAGGCCCAGGAAATAGAACCGTGATTGGTTCCATAAGGAAAAGGACTGGACTCTAAGACGAGCTACTYAGTCATTCCTTTATTTGCTAATTCCTTCATTTGTCCAAAGAACCTTCATGAAGCACCTGCTATGACCAGACCCTCTCAGTTACTGGATGGCTGAAAATGCAGTCAAGAGTGACAGTCCTTGTCTTCAAAGAGAAGACAGACAAGGTGAAAATAATAAGTTTATAAATGAAAATACAGGGGTTGGTTGGAATGTTGGAGGGCAGCCTGGGGTGCTATGGGTGGGGACATCATATCCAATCAAAGGGGCAGAGAATAATTTACCAGGAGTCCACAGCTGCAGAGACAGCTTCATGGCAAGGGAAATGGATTGCTATTGATTCAGCCATTGTCCCATGGCTACTGTATGTGCAGGGCAGTAGGCAGGCACCGGAAGGAATACCAAGGTGAATATGGCTTRGCTTCTTCTTCACCTGGCCAGTGTAGCCTTCACCATCAGAGGGCTGCTGTGGTGGCGTTATCTCATCACTCTGATGTCTTCACATCATGTTAAGGAAATCTGAGGTGACATCATACCCAGTGGTGAGCTTCAGARCCTGGGATGTGGACTTGGGTGTCCTTTCCATGTGGGTGCCCACTGGAATTGAAGTGAGTCTTGGCATTTCCATGTTTGGCCAAAGCAATGGCTTCCTTGGAGGCCAGTCTTCTAGATTGTAAACCAATGAAAGCAGCCAGACCACAAGCAACAAGATCAGCAGTTAAGAGAATGACTGGACTTGCTCTTACCAAGTTTTAGTTTTTGTTTTTGGTGGAAGTCGAGGTTCAAATGGGTCTCCCATCAGAT